TGAGCTAGCTGAGTTGGGTCTGGGTGCTGAGTGAGCTGATGAGCTGAGTCAGCTGACCAAGCTGGTAAGTGAGCTGGGTTGGAGAGCTGAGTGATCTGTGTCCAAGGGCTGGATGAGCTGTCTACAAGAGCTGACTGAGCTGGGCCCAAGAGACGGATGAGCTGGGTGAGCTGAATGGGCTGGGGCCGGGTGCTGGGTGAGCTGATTCAGAGAGCTGGGGGAGCTGAGTGATTTTTCAGCCACAGGTGTGACTGACCTGGTTGCAAGAGCTAGATGAGCTAGTTCAGAGAGCTGGATGAGCTGGGTGAGCTGAGTGAGCTGGGTCCGGGAGCTGAGTGAGCTGGTTCCAAGAGCTGAGTGATCTGAGTCTGAGAGCTGGATGAGCTGAGTGAGCTGGATGAGCTGAGTGAGCTGGGTCCAAGAGCCAGATGAGCTAAGTCAGAGAGCTGGGTCCAGGAGCTGGATGAGCTGAGTGAACTGAGTCTGGGAGCTGGATGAGCTGAGTGAACTGAGTCGGGGAGCTGGATGAGCTGGTTCCAAGAAAGAGCTGAGTGAGGTGAGTGAGCTGGGTCCGGGAGCCGGATGAGCTGAGTGAGCTGGGTCCGGGAGCTGGATGAGCTGAGTGGGCTGGGTCTGGGAGCTGGATGAGCTGAGTGAGCTGGATTAGCTGAGTGAACCGAGTTCGGGAGCTGGATGAGCTGGGTCAGGGAGCTGAGTGAGCTGAGTGAGCTGGGTCCAAGAGCTGACTTGAGCTGACTGAGCTGGATGAGCTGGGCCCAAGAGCTGGGTGAGCTGGTTCCAAAAGCTGAGTGAGCTGAGTGAGCTGGTTCCAAGAGCTGGATGAGCTGAGTGAGCTGGGTCCGGGAGCTGGATGAGCTGAGTGGGCTGGGTCTGGGAGCTGGATGAGCTGAGTGAGCTGGATGAGCTGAGTGAACCAAGTCCGGGAGCTGGATGAGCTGAGTTAACCGAGTCCGGGAGCTGGATGAGCTGGGTCCGGGAGCTGAGTGAGCTGGGTCCAAGAGCTGACTTGAGCTGACTGAGCTGGATGAACTGGGCCCAAGAGCTGGATGAGCTGGGGCCAAGAGCTGGATGAGCTGGATGAGCTGGTTCCAAGAGCTGAGTGAGCTGAGTGAGCTGGTTCCAAGAGCTGGATGAGCTGAGTGAGCTGGGTCCGGGAGCTGGATGAGCTGAGTGGGCTGGGTCTGGGAGCTGGATGAGCTGAGTGAGCTGGATGAGCTGAGTGAACCAAGTCCGGGAGCTGGATGAGCTGGGTCCGGGAGCTGAGTGAGCTGGATGAGCTGGGCCCAAGAGCTGGATGAGCTGGGTGAGCTGGGCCCAAGAGCTGGATGAGCTGGGTGAGCTGGTTCCAAGAGCTGAGTGAGCTGAGTGAGCTGGTTCCGAGAGCTGGATGAGCTGAGTGAGCTGGGTCCGGGAGCTGAGTGAGCTGGGTCCGGGAGCTGAGTGAGCTGGTTCCAAGAGCTGAGTGAGCTGAGTCCGAGAGCTGGATGAGCTGAGTGAGCTGGGTCGGAGAGCTGAGTGAGCTGGCTCGGAGAGCTGGATGAGCTGTGTCCGAGAGCTGAGTGAGCTGGGTCTAAGAGCTGACTTGAGCTGACTGAGCTGGATGAGCTGGGTCCAAGAGCTGACTGAGCTGGCTGAGCTGAAAAAATTGGGCGAGCTCAGCTCCAGCCATCTTCCATTCCAAATGGAAGATGGGTGCATCAGTTTCCTCCATTTGGCATGGAAGAATTTTGCAGCCAAACCTCCAAGACGCATG